CTTCAGTATCGATTAATATATTATGGATATTAATTTTGCGTTAATTTTTGGCATATTTGTATTATCTGACAATATATTCACTTTGAGTTAAATTAACACAAAAATTTGTGTGATCCGTTTGGGACGTGTGAAATGTGTTAAATTCAACACAAAATTTTTTCCATGTAAATATGACAACAATGCCGTTGGAAGTGCATGTTTGTTTGAGAAGCGCGTTCCGCGTTTGTAGAGGAGTTAATCTTTTATGGAATGCAAAAGTGATCTATCAGAGGCTTTGCTCTTCACTCGTCTCTTTCTGTCCCCTCTCCCTCTCTCTCTATTGCTCTCTCGCAAATCGCCGGGCGTTAAAAACCGGTCGAAAGCTTTCGACGCGGATTTGCAATTCAGTCGCGCGCTTGTATTTCGGCGCACCGTGCGATGTGCACATAGCACAGAGCGCGCGCGGGACCACCGACGACCACCGTCGTGCTAAACGCGTTAGCGTGTATTTGCTAACTAGTTAAACGGCAGCTGATGTTTGCTGCCGAGACCTTGAAGTGCATTCGAGCATACGCAACGCGACGAGGTAATCACCAGTCCTCGTAACGACCTACAAATGAATCCGACCGCCGGCCGAACAACGTCGCCGGGCTGCTTCGCCGGGAAGCGAGACGAAGAATTAATTCGCGTCGTAACCCGACATTCTCACAGCCGATGATGATGATTTATTAACAAATACACGGCCCGCGAGGAGATCTTATGCAAATCGATCTTGTTGCCAGCGTGCGTGCGCGCAAGATTCTTACGTAACCGCGAGAAACCGAGTTTCCTGCAGCCGACCACGTAACGCTCGGCCTGGAAATTGGCACGGAATCTTCGCGCGTGTTCAACCATGCCGGTGTCTTTTATTTCTCTCTTTTCCTTTCTTTTTTTTTTTCTTTCTTGAATATCACAGTCGGGAGTGTATAGGAAATAATTTTCTTATTTTAATCCCGCGACACCGCTGGGAAAGGTATAAAAATTGCACAAAAAGGTATAAAATTGCGTTAAATGAGATTCGCGCCGTTAGATCTTTTCCGCACGTGCGCACATCCGCCGTTAGTCTCGCGGGGTTATTTTGCATGAGAATGCCCGAAAATTTATGGACGTCGGTGGGCGCTCTGCTTTTTCCCCTAAGTAGGCGAGGCAAGAGTACCCGGCTGTAACTCCGGACTGCCGGCCGAGATGCGATAAGGATTGTTACACGCCTCGAAAGCACCCCCAGGCGAGATCGTTTCGCGCGTGGGTACAAAAGACTCCATTTAAAAATTGAAACCAACTTCCGCGCAGCACCGGGGGCTCTCTGCACCCGTGATGCACGCCGGTGACTTCCACGATCCCAGCAAGTTACAATTTCACGCGTAAAACGGAATGGATTTTTCTCTTTTCCGAGCGGTGAATGGAGAGTCTAATTAAAGCAAGCAATGACCTGCAAGCGTGCGATGCAGCTCGTCAGGTTTTCCTATGTGGGATTATCAAAGTAAATATGAGATTTGTTTCAAGAATGTTTGATGCACAAACAAACCGCATGGAGAAAAATATTTTGCTGGCCCAACAAATTTTATATTGTCACAGCAAATCTGGTTAGTTACTAATGGACAGCAAAACGATTTGTTGTGAATACCAATTGCCATTCGCTTGTAGATTATCTTGCCAAATCTGCAAGTTATTTTGCTGTGAGAACAAATTATTAATTAGTAGGAAAACACTGTTTTGTTCTAACAGCAAATTAACGCCGTCCTAGAGGACAAATTCATTCAGCGGATTATTTTTTATCCCGGCAATAAAACTGTTTCTGTTCTAATTACGAATAATTCGTTAATTTGATTTTACTATGACAGCAAAATTATTTTTCTCCGTGTGCATTCCAGTGTGTGTGTGTGTGTGTGTGTGTGCATTTACGAATATAATATATTCCAAAATATCTCAACATTACGTAATATTTAGGAGTATTTGGTAACTTTGTATACTTAAAGTATGTAAGTAAGAGACTTTAGTCGCTGTCGCGCTCTTTGGGGATCTAACAAGATCCTTAACTCCTCGCCGACTGAATAACACGGAGTTCCTCGCCGGCAAACGCTTTCACGTAGCATCGTTTGTCGTTTGCACAAACAGACGCAGTCAGGTAGCGACGCGGCTTGTTCGCGATTCTCGCACCAACAGTCGGCAAATCGCGTGATTATTTAGCGGCGTCGCGTTCCCTCGCGAGATCTGCAATGAGGCCGCTCGTTATGCGGACGTGGCGCTCGCACTCTCTCATGTTTATTCCCGCGTGGCCGTTTCCTTTTATCCCGCTTTGCATTCTCGCGGCTTGCGGCTGTGTCGAAAACACGCACGGGATTCCATTTGCTGCCTCTCTCAGTGCGACACGTAAAAGTGATTTCGGTTCGCGAACGTACGCGCGTCGAGTGATTTAATCTCTCAGGGAAACAGTCTCGAAATGTGGAAATGTTTCGAGATTCCGAGCGACACGAGTTTCGTCCCCGATAACGCTCTTCAGCGCCCTTTGCCAGCCCTTTGGCCCGCAAAGGTTTGACGGGATTAATATAGAATAAGTTTTTAGCATTCACGACCTTTAAAGTGCAGCAAACGAAATGCGAAACCCGCTCCGCTCTCGTGCTGAGTGTCTCGCATTTTCCGCCAATCGCCGTGTATCGCAAACAGAAATCAAATTGGTAAATTCTACGTTCGCTCTGCCGTTCGGGAGGGCCGGATTAAAAAGCGTCAAATGTTGTCCAACCATCCTCGAGAGAAGACGACGTAAAACCCGCAATTACCTCGCATGAACTGAACCACCGCGCCAATCCGGGACGTGGTGGTTTAAAGGCCGCTCTCGAGCGCCGGACGCTTCTTTGAGCGACGAGGCCCTGACAAATCGTCATGACGCTTTCCAGAGTACGTCCCTTCCAAAGTCCATCTTTAATTCTACAAAGGATTTGCCGGGCTTTTTGCTTCGCGTTACTACCTTTTTTTTCTTTTATTTATTGCGTTTCCTTTCACGACACACGTCGCTCCTCGAAGAATTACGTCCCGACGACGTTCATCAGCGAGCTTCTCTTCCCCTCCTCCTCCTCCTCCTCCCCTCTCTCCACTCTTTCTCATTATCGCCAGACGACAGCATTTTAATAGTGCAAATTTAGCACGAGGGTCCGAGAGGGTTGCATTACGCGTGAACGCGATCGTCGATGGAGAGTGACGACGACACGCGATAAAACGTTCGTTCTTCGTCCCGGGCGTCTAGCGTTATCATCGTTAACGTCCTCGTCCGACGTCGTTCCGTGTCATTATCCACGGCCCGATACTTTAAACTACGACGGCACGCCTGCTGTGGGTGGTGGGAATCGCCGCCGACTCGGATTACCCTCTTCCCGCTCTCCGTACATTCGCTGCTCTTCGTTAAAATCTTATCTCGCGGAATTAGGATCTAAGTACTCCTGCTCGTCGCGCTTCTTACGCTAGTACGAGGAGATAATTTTGCTCTTCACATCGTCGATGATTTTCCGCCACGAGCGAGTTGTACGAAAAGGGGGAGAGAAAAGGAGGAGAAAGACCACAGCTCGCCTCTCTCTCGCTTCATTAATACTGTGCGCGAGAGATTACTCTTTATCGACGTTTTCGAACGCTTGCACTCGAGCGTAATTGCGACTCTTCAATTGAGAGACAGGGAGAGAGAGAGGGAGAACGCGAGTAACTCCGTTAAATTACTCGTAAACGTGGATACGCTAAGTGCCGCATTATTTTCGCATTCCGATCGTGTTCCACGTGTCTGTTCTTTTTGCACGTACGTCTGTGCAATATTCGCACTGTGTATACTTTCTTGAAAAATACAACATCGCTCGTCGACGATCGAAAAATAGCTTTCCCAGATTGGAAGCAATTTTGCAAGGATAACGCGAGCTTCCTAAGAATGTGACATATTTTTTGCTTCTTCCTCCTCGTCACCCTGCGATCGCGATCGCTCCCTCGGAATTAGGTAGCGATAAAGTTTGCCGGGGTCTCCGCGCAAATAAGAAATTCCACCGTCGTGAGGCGAACTGCGCTTAAGATATACGCCTCATTCGGGTGCATGAGCTTGCATATCGAAGCTTTTCACTACCTCGCGTACGAGGCCCCGAGTTCCACCCAATTGAGTCGGTGAATGTCTCTCGGTGTAATAGGGAAGGAAGAGTCCGCTCTCCGCGAAATGTCGAAGTTCAACTACCCGCATCCATCGTATATATATCGTATGTCTGCACGTCAGATACGCGCAACCCTTACCCTCACGCGCGTACGCATGTACGCGCTGAACGGCTCGATATTCGCCGGCATAATGCGATTTCTTCACGCTACATGGGAGTGTCTCTAGCTGCCGGCATGCTGGTTTTGTTCGCGACTACAAGCGACACGCGAAACACACCGGCGCTTAGTGACAGGCGTATCTTATGAAGCGCGGATACTGCAAAGCGTGGATGCCTTGAAACGCATCTATCGCCTTTTTGGTTTCCGCGATATTCAATAGCGTTATAATAACACACTTTATACTTCAGTGTCGATTAACATATGGATATTAATTTTGTGTTAATTTTTTATGTAATATATGCTACTTTTCAACATATTCACCTTGTGTTAAATTTAGCACACAACTTTTTACCGTGTATATTCTGTATTGTATAATCGATTGTCGCAATTTGTGCAATCTATAATTCTAGATTAGATATAGAATTTTATCGTAACTATAACCCGAAACAGGTGATTTTAATTAAATCACATCCGCCTTCTGCCTCCACCGGAACCCGCACCGGTTGTTCCGGGTACAAGAATGTGGCTACTGGAATACCTAATACCGGCGCAAGGTGCTCGAAACCTGTTCGGAGCCATATGGTGGCGAACGTCGATCACTTTTAATTAAATTTTTGTCCGACGCATGTAATATAGGCATCGCGTTTGTGTATTTAGTAACTGGCGCGGAAAGTTGTCTCATGCGGGACCCTTTTGTTTTGCAGCTGGAGCCGCTCCTGAGGAAACTAACCAAAGGTCCAGTTCTGCACACAATCGCCACTCTCTCACGAAGGGTAAGTTCGACGAATAGATCGCCTTTATACTGGAACACTTTCGCTTCCTACAATGAAACGTGCGATCAGCACGACGTTAAATCCTACCGAGTGAAACAAATCGCCGTGTAGAGATATCCAGAGATAAATAATCAATTCGATCGAATTAATACAATTAATGATACTTCCTGTCTCGACATGGTCACTCTAATATTAACACACTTTTTGTAAATATTGATAATACATATTTTCAATATATGTTGTACGAAGAAGAGAAATATCGCGATATTATATTAATTTGCGATCGAAGCTGTACTTTATTAATAGGCAAATCCAATTTATTAACGGGTTAGTTTTGATTGCCTCGCAATTAATTTGTGAATCACTATTTCAATACCTTCGTCTGATGAAATTGACGCGGGATACAAGGTGATTTGGTGCCTGGTAGGTAAACTGGTGCTCTAGATTTCGTTTTTCCTGGCTCTTTTTCTCTTTCTCTTTCTCATCTATCTCGACGTTTCCCACGGCCGGCTTGTGTCGAAATTCTAGAGCACCGGTCCGGAGAATTTTTCATCACTTGTAGCGAGCGTGTGACATCACTCACGGTAGCTTTTTGCCATTTACACGGCGGATTTCAGCGCGATATTTAATATCGCGTGTCTACCGACGTTTCTGTGGCGCTTTGAGAGCACAGCTTGAATATCTGTTTGTAGTACAGATAGCGACACCGGACATGAAGACACACAGACACAGGTCGGTTTTTATTCGAGAGTCTGGAAAAGCATTTGACATTTAGAGCGCAGTGTGTTTTTCAAATACGGGAAAGTAGGACGTCCATTGAGTGACTACAATGTTACTACATTATTCATCATATGAATAATATTATTACCAGAGGACTGCTCAAAGCGTTCAATATGAAAATAGATTGCGTCCGTTTAGCTAATTTCAAATATAATATAATATATATCAATGTCATTCATTACTCTTTTCTTTATTTATTTCCCTTCGTCAATGTATAAAAGTTACACATTTAACGCGAATCGCACAAGCAAAATTGTGAAACTTCATAATTTTAACAAAATTATGATGTTTCTCTGTATTAATTTCAAACGCGATTAAAATCGTTCTGCGAGGTGACGAACTAGCTTTGCTAGATATCTCCGGATAAATTCAAAGTCTTCAGTGAATTTCCATCGGGACTTGTTTGTGGGTTGCTACGTCACCGATATTCCACAGTCGATAACGATATTAATCTCGCGCGGAAAACCGCGTAACTGTTTTCCGATCCGAGGTGGAATCGAGGACGCTATCGAATCGCAGCGGATCCAAAGTGCGACTTCTGGGTCGTGGTAGATAACGAATGCAATTCTCCCGGTCTCGGCCGGCGAAACGGCGAGTGGATTTAATAACGCTTCAATTCCGCTGCGCGCTTTTGTAAGGGAGGCCGCTAGTTTAATCAACCGTTAAAAGCGCCCGCGAAATTGTTAATAACTCCTCCGCTTGGCTGGAAAAATCACGTACGTGATGACACGTCGAAAATTTAATTCGTACGAAGGACACGAGGTGTATCATTTGTCGCGCTTGCTATTGTCGAATTAAATACGTTCCGATGGTTTGTATAATTAAATCTCGCCTAATGGACTATACGTATCGGACGAGTGGCCCGTGTGATGTAATTTATTCAATGCGATATATTAACGTGAATTTAACTATTCATAGGTGAAAGTATAATTAGAATTATAAATATAGTTCTTAACAGCGCGTGTTATGGCAGGAAAGAACGCGAGTAAGAAGAAAAAAACGTTGGAAAATATCGCCGGAGAAGAACGCTCGTGGGCGTAATATTTCTTCGGCCGCTCCCTTCACTTCAGCTTAAAACCCCCGTGAGATATTTATGAAGCGTTTAAAACCTTTATTTAACTGCGACAGTTGGGGAATTATCGACATTTTAAATTTGAAACGTAAACGACGTCACTCTGCGCGCTACGCAAAAAGTACGCTGGCTCGTTAAATATTAGTAGAACACTGTGGCACCTTGGAGCGAAGGGGGGTGGGGAGAGGGAAGACAATTTGGGCCGTTCCCCTTCGTTAAGTCGAAAAGAATAGAATATCCTGACGGTATCGCTCAATAAGTACAGCATAATCGAGCAACGGAAATCGACAATTAGACACGGTAACGTACAAATTATACCTCTATATAAATTGATTACTTGAAGATCGTGAAATATATCACGAAACGAGTGCGCGTCGTAATGGGCTTTTCCACGCGGATTCTTCACTTGAAAGTAACCAGGCGTCGTTATTTCATCTATGACGATCTTTCTCTCCAGGCGTGTCCTTAGTGCGAATATCCTCGCGCCGATGCGCGCAACAATTATCGCGTCGGCAAACGCGAAAGGCGGGGATCGTCGGTGAGAGGACTTCGTTATACGAGTCGTGCATCAACAGCTTCTCATAGATCATTCATGCGCCTTAAACCAGCGCGTATCCCGTTCGTGTTCTATACCGTCACTCGAGCAAGGTGGTCGAGATAGAATAATCCGGACGGATGAATGGAGGATTCGAGAGGAAAAGCCGGAGAGAGGAGTGCGGAGGAGAACCGGAAAGGTGATGGGAGAAAGGGAGAGGGAAGGGGGTTAGAAAGACAACCTTCGTGGCGATGCCACCGGGAGATGGAAGCGGGGTGGATCCCATTGTTTCCCGACCCACTTCCAGACGAAGGGAGATTAACAGAGCCGTGTGTATCCACCGGCGGATTTTCCAGTGTTTGAGCCTCCAAGACGACGAGGCCGCGTCGCGCGACTGCAGCCACGTGATGACGGCTCGAAACGAAAGCGCGTGTCATCCCTTCGGGCGACAGCAACGATGCGGTGTACCCTACTCGTTAAATTGTCTCGGTTACTTCATTGTCCACCTATCCTCCACGCGTCGCGTCCGCGAAATTGCGGACACGCCGCTGTAAATATCGCCGCGAGGCTATTTTAACGAATACCCGCGTGCGGTGCTTATCGCGGTGAAGGAAACAAAGGGGAAGAAAAACGTTCCGCAGGATTCGTTAACGAGCAGCTCTTTTTTCGTTAAGCGTGTGTAGCTTTCGACGGCTCTATACATACGGCGATACGCGTCCGGAGATGCTTTTTGCGTCGGTATTTCTCGCGTGCGTAACAAGAGAGGAGCGGCTGCCATTATATTTGAAAAATTCGAATGCGCGTCGTATCGACGTATATTGTGAAGCGTTCGTGATGAATTGTTGAGACATCTGGCGATTCCGCGTCATTTTTATCTCTCCGTTGACTCCAATTTTTCTCGCGCGCGCGCGCCAGCGCTGTATTTAAACGCGCGGCCGCACTGTTTTTCCATTCGCTGTTCCACTCCATTCGTCAAAAACGGGAGAATTAACGGCGATGTCGTGTGAAGGACAGCTTTCAAAGAGATAGATGGGTGGATTGTGGGGCGCATTGTGCGTCGATGCGTTCCCGAATGGCGGATGATTAACTGCTCCTCGAGTTGTACCGAGATGCTAGACGGTGCATTTTCGAGACCGCCTCCTCCTCGAAAACGCCGCTTCGAAGCGAAACGACGACGCGTATCATTATCTTTGTCCTGCGGTATCCCGGAGTTCTTTGCTCTCCGCGGCCGAAGGAATCTTTTTGATCGGGATAATGGACGGGAGAGAAGGCGCGCGCTTTGTAGCGAGCTTTCCTCTCGCCGCTTTCATCTGAAAGAATGCGATTGCACGTCGCGCGAGATACGCACAGTATTCTACATCGTACAACAGCTTAATACCGTTTATGCGATACTCCCGGAGGCAATACGGATACTTTGTTGCCCCTTAATATCACTTAATATAGTCATTGATTTGTTAATAAAAGCGGAAGAGATTCTGCTATGCGGATATGAACGATAGGAATATTAATTTCTTCGTCAAATTAGTTGCGAGAGCGGGGACGTTTCCGGTTTAATAATCCAAGATTTTGCAGAGAAGAGAGAGAGAGAGGAAGAGAGAGTGTATTAATTTCTCTGGCTGGTCTCTGGTGAAATGTACAAACATGTGATTTTCCGCGCTACTCAGTCCCCGGTCGTTCATTTTCCATTTTTCGAACGTTTCACTTGGACACGCCACTTTATTGAGTAACGAGTATCGAGTTTCGCTGTTGATTCGATACGAGTCCTGTTTCCAAATTACATTCGCGTGCAACTGCATTTCCATATAGAGTCCTCCTATCCTCGATGAAAAGGAGAGCGGCTCTTCAATTACCCGCCGCATGTTATTTGGAAGAATCAGCGCTGCCGGCGCATCCGTCGTCGGGATTTCTCCACGACGCGTTTGCAACGTGATTCGGTATTCGCGTGTCGTCGAAAGCGTCCTTTTATGTCGTCGTTCGCGCGTCCTTGCGCCTTCTTTTTTTCTCCCCTTCTCACTCTCTCGCCCGATTCCGCACTCGCATCGCTAATGAGATGTCCAATTATCATCAACGGTAGGCCTAACGTCTCCTCTCTCCTCGTCTCCGTACTCTTTCGTTCTTCCCTGCTGCCTGGCATTCGCAATCAGCGGCCGGAAATAATATCGGCAGCTTTGTGGTTGTCCCCATTGGCGCTTGTCGAAAACGAGTCGTCGACGAAGAGCGAAAATAAGCCAGCCACGTTGCAATTAGAGATTGTACTGAATATAGAAAAGAGAAAGAGAGAAAGTGACGGTGGGAGGGAAGGCGGGAGAGGGCTGCTGTCGAATTGACGCAATATCTGTGCATGGCGAGCCACTTCGTCCTCGGTACCAGCTGTGTTGTACGCAAAAATAACGAGCTGCCGAGATCGATATTTCGTCACTCGTCGCAAAATCTAATTTCTCGAGAGCGAAGAGGAATTTATTAATTAACAGCGCGCCACATTAACGGGGATAAATAAATTTATTCACACGCACGTATAATCTATTTACCATTAAACAATCTCTCTCTCTCTCTCTCTCTCTCTCTAAAGAACATGCGCGCGGTGTAATTATTTAAATCGTAAATAGTTATAATAATCTGTCCATTAACAACGTTGGACCGAACAGTAGCGTAATCCAATTGCGAGACGCGGAAGAAGAAAGAGATATGAAAGGAGACAGCATGACGCAATGAATAATTAAAACAACGCAGCACGTCCTCAAGGATATCCATTTAAATTTAAACGCCTCTTGACGGAAAATAATAATGTCGCGTCGTGCGGAGCAATGCTTTGGTCGATTAAACGGCAGTATACCCGCGATAACCGGCATCTTTGGGTAAACAATTTCGGTTGACGCCAGCTGGTGCAATCTGCAATAATAAATTCCGATATCTCTCCTTTTGTTGCTCGTTAAACCCACGATCGCGTCGTCTCTCGTTGAGACAACGACTGTATTTATCGCGTCGCGGAGCTCGCCGACGGAGCTCGCGAAGTGTGTTTTAGAGCTCGGCGATAAAGCTCTCGGGGAATGTGTATATCTTCGAATCTGTCTTCCGCAGAGCAAACGATGCACTGGTTCGCCCAAATCGGAGTCGACGACGACGACGCTCTCGCTTTGTCAGGTATGAATCGGGTTGATCGGCAACGCGGCCCGAAAACGATTGTGGTGTGCTTCTCAAAACTCATCCGCACGGAGTTATCCCGCGTGTCCTCCTCGCGACGTCGAGAATGATCGTCGCATCCAAGCGCGCTTCTAAAGGTCGACACGATTGTTGGTCGTAAGATTAGAAATAATGTAAATTGTGAAGTTGAATTCTTTTAGATTTCTTATTGAAATTTTTTCTATTACATCTCCCGAAAAATCTCTCTCGCGTTATATTTTCATTCCCGAAGAGATATTTTTATGCGTTACATTATCGAATCGTTAACATGTCGCGACGCGATAATATCTGTATGTCGGCGCTGTAACGATCGATATCAGTGATGTAGTTGAAAGCACTATCGTTCCTATCGTTCGTATATTTGTCCGCATTCACGTCTCTATTTAGAGGAAAACGCGACAAATACCGATACGAAGTTTATTCATACATGTCACGAAGATCGGATTTAATGAACTCTAAACGCGATCGATGAAAAACGAACGATCTCGCACGCTCTGATACAAAATACGACGTAGATATGGGCCGTGACATACATTTGTTCTTTTACCCGCGAGCCATAAAATGACATTGCTCGTTGCAGTACTCAATTACGGGTATTTGTGCGCGTCTGTACGTTTGTGTGATTCTATGAGACAGCAATTTCCGTGCTATTCCACAAAAGCGAAGTTAAACGTTTTCATTGATTTTTTGGTCAGCGTGTATTATTTGCCGCAGAAGTCATAATAAACGAATTCACTCGACAGCAGGCAACAAAGCTAACGAGTCGTGTAACTTGACGATTGTGTAAAAGAACGCGTGTTTAACGATTAATGGTTAACACCGCCCGGCTTGGACGCTAATCTTTTGCTACGCGTATATGAATTTAACAAACGCTATTAAATAATTTTATACATCGATGTCACGAAATATCATGACATTGTGTATGTGTGTGTGTGTGTGTATTCTACATTTAACTGGAATAATCAATAGCAGCAAGGTTCCCCCGCTGTAAATGGCCCGTTACTTTTTATATGCGTGTACAGTCCCCTAAAAATGTTAAGCGGATTACCTTGCGAAGTGAGATATATTTTCGCATAAATCCTGATCACGTTGTACCTCACGTTTCCTATATCAAAATTTCTTTCTGTCAGATTTCCTACTCCTACAAGAATTATGCTGGACGCGTGAAATTTTCTGCGTAATACTATCCCTCGATCCACGTATAAGTTCCACCTAAATGCGACGTGTAATTTTCTCACCGCAGCTACGCAGTTCTCGGTTGTAACCGTCTGTCTCGAAAGCTTTTCCAGGCGAATGCGACTCGTATTTTTAATATCGCGCTTAGTCGACAAAAAAAAGATCATGCTGTATATATCGTTGAAAATGATAACCTCGTTTTTCCCCGTGCTCATAAAACGAACGTCTTCCGAAGAGCAGATTTATCCGCCGCAGCCACTTCTTGCGCGGCCCGATTATCTTTCACGGAGAAGAGATGAAAAGACAGTTGAGGATTATGCTGCTCAAGAAAATGGAAGTACCGATAGCCGACTATACTCGAATCGAAATTTAGCTTCTGCATTAATCTTGCAAATACGGCGGTGACCGATCAATGCAAAATCTTATGATGTAACATTGTGCAGAAACTATTGTCCTACCTTGATGCTACCAATGCTTGTTTACCGTTTCTTCCATAAAATTACATAGTAAGTTACATAATTAATATATCGCTTATTGAAATTAAAAATAGAGAAAGATTAAGTGGAGTTGATCTATTGAAATAATTGAATATCAAACAATTCTTAAATAAACCCTTTTTTGTAAATCTGTCAATAAAACGATGATAAATAACTATTTGCAGCATTACGGTGAAAACGATAGTCTGTCTGTCAGTTATACCTCGAGATTCGCCACGGATCCTTTAAGTTCGACGAAATTTACAGAATTAACGTAGAATAAAAAAATTCCAGCTCCGATGTATTCGGATCTAGGTAGAAAGGACAAGTTTGCGTTACGTTAAGAACGATTACATCACAGTTAACATGTGTTTTAGCATGGATTTACTTCTATTTTCAATCTTCCACCTCTCCGTTTCCCAAAACTTTTGATTATTTCATCAGCGAAATCGCACTCGTACTTTATGCACCCATGTATATAACGAAACTTTTGTACCACTGTATGCACCACCACCGTACCATATACTTATGCTCGCAATAATTTCTCCTTGTTTGTAACAGTCGTCCTCAGTCCCGCATTAACAGGAACAATCACATGTCGCATGCGAACCCACTCGCTTTAATCGCGCGTGCACACATTCACATACGCCCTCTACCGTACACGGCAGGTGCATGCCATAATAACATGCATCGTCCATCCGTCCATCCATTCATTCATTCATTCATTCATTCATTCGTCGTACGTACTGCGTGCTACGGTCTTAATACTCGAATCTTACGTGCACACGCACATGTCTCGCTTTCTTCTCGGCAGATGTGAAGCGCCGGCGAAGTCTCTACGATGAGGATTCCCTTGACGGCGATCGTCCTTACGAGAATGAAGGTATCAACGTTTTCAACAAGGGCACTGTACAGACACTGTTTCCTTTGCCTTATCATTAGACTTTTCTCCTCTTATTTCGACGACCGCTAATCAACCGCCATCGGACGCCTCTTATTAACATTTTTAACATTTGTTTTAACGGAAAAAAAAACGGTGGCAGTTTACGTTCATTTTGCGTACTGTAATTCAATCTAATAATACAAATCGGGTTAACTGGAGGAAGTTGAAACTCCGTTCACGCTGGATACACGTTACTTTGAACGTATCGCGCGCTTATATCATATAGAATATCCCGAATGATCCTGTTTCATTTTGGATTGTATATTTTTGTAAATAGCTACTTTTATTACCAACTCGATGTTATTGTAGAATCTCTTTCTCTTTTTCTGTGTCTTCAAATATAATTACAATGATGAGAGGTCTGCATCCCTTCACCTCCTCCTAATTATATCCTATTCCTGTTTTATGTTACGTAAGTTATTTTTAACATTTCATTATTTTTTATACGATGACATTCATTTTAGAGAGTATTTATTTCATCGGTGTTCAGTTTTAATTGACATTTTTATTCGACCGTCCACTCACTTCTCTCTTCAATTTTATTTAAGCCAATAACTTTATGTTACGTTCAGTATCATTCAATAGCGACGAATTTATCGAATGTGTGTTTTTTTTTGTTCAATATAATTCTCATTTTGATTCACGATTTGGGATAGTCTTGCGTAAATGCAATTCGTTATCTCAGCTTATTAATACATGTCCAAATTTGAAATTTTATACGGAACATATAATCGTGTGAAAATACGCGATTAGAAAATTCTCTTTGTCTAGAACTCGAGAGAAACGTTCCATTAATCCGTCACCGCGTTCAGTGGATCGTGAAAGATAGATAACCGATACAAACCGAACATTCGCAATTGGTTTGAGTGGACGGATACTAAACGTCTCCTGTTCGCGTGGCTGTTCGCAGGACGCGACTCGACGGGAAGTTCGAAGGAGTTGGACAGGGCGAAGCTTGTCCGCGAGAGGCAGAACGAGGAGCGGCAGCGGAAGTTGGAGGAGCTCAGACAACAGGCGCTCGCCGCACAGCGCTTCCGGGAGCAGCGTGAGGAGGAGCGGCGAAGGCGCATCGACGAGCTCAGATCGCGTGACAACGACAGGTTTGTTGGTCCCGTTGACGTGGACACACTCGAAGGAAGATTCGCAATCGCTTTTAATGCGAGGGATTTAATTCAATCCGTATTTCGTGAGGAAGAAATGGATGCTGAAGAACGTAATACGCACGTTCTCAGGCTCTTGAAGAGAGCATTCGGACACACGCTTTTCTCCTTTGCCACCGTTGACTGCTAAAATTATCCTGCATCGCGAAATAATAATCTGCGAATCAAGAAGAGAAACTCGGCTATCTAAAGCTGGGTATACACTGAACGAACGAGGAAGAAACAAATAGCGAGTGCAAACTTTCGTTGTTACAATTTGGAAAATATGTACATCATAACGAACTCGAACGGAACGTTGCGAACAAATTTGTTCATAAAGTGGTTTATCAAAGAAAGTTCGTGTGCGTTTAGACGCGAATATACATATTCATATTATACATTCGCTGTTCGTTTGTAGTTCGTTCGCTCAGTGTACACTAGGGTTAGAAGTTATATTCGAAAGTTAAACTCTCCGATACTCTTTAATTGCACAGCATTTTGTTGCACTCTCCAAAATTAGATCTATTAACAGCTTCGATATTTCGAATCTTCGGATAGAGTTCGAAACTTCAAATAATTCGATTTCAAGACTTCGAACTTCGTCGTCAAGTATCGAATTGTACCGAAGTTTCGAAGCTTCGAATATGTCGAACATTGCCACCCTTAGTGTATACCGACTTTAAGCTGTGTATCGAACGAACGTGGTGCCGGCTTGCTTTCGTCGCCGCTGACGCCTCTTCTTCTACGTGCAGACGAAACCAAGTGGAGGAGAGAAAACGGCTGATATGCGAGGCCGAACGGGAACGACGGGAGGCAATTCTTCGGAAGAATCAGGAGAGGGAAGCGCGCATCGAGGCGAAGAAGAAGAACGAAAGGTCGCACATCGTCTTCGCGTTCGGTAGCTCTACGCCGCGGATGTTGGAGCCCGCCGACACCGGCGGTTCTACCTTCTGGGGCACCCGCAGGGCCACCTCCACCACCAACGTCATGATGTTCTCCGCGGCACAGCCGCTCACCAGGAGGTCCTCCGAGAGAGAGCTGGACGGCAGCAAGAAGCGGGCCACTTCCGCCGGCGGACTCGACCGGAAGCCAGGCGAAGGTCAGTCAACACGATGGTTCTTCGCGTGCCGGGTCAGATCGCGCGAATTCGCCCGAGTATATGCCCCATAAAGCGATCGAGGTGGTCGTTGATGCGAGCGTCGCCGCACATCGCACATGGAAATTCGATTAACCCTTTCAGCGCGCGATGTTGGGCTTGCCGCGTTTGAGAGCATTCTGTTCCGCGAGCGCGACGAAAGCTCTTTCTAACAGATTCCGGTAGAACACGGAGTGCTTCGGTCTTTACTCACAGAGAGAGAGAGAGAGAGAGAGAAAGTTCGCATGATAGCTGTATTCTTTAACAGTCCATATTGGTAACTTCATTACAAAGAGCAGTCTCAATTCTGCTTCATCGCCTTTCTCTGAAACTCAAAAAGGTTCTCTTGTTCGCACCTGAGCACCTGCAGGTGTCCATGAATAATAGTACACCCTCTCCTTCTCTCTCTCTCTCTCTCTCTCTCTCTCTTTCCATCTCCGAGAAAGATTGAAAGATGAAGTGTAAAGCGTGCCTCGTGAAATACGTGTGCGTATGTAATATGAAATAGTCGAGCAGCAGCTGAAAGCGTTAAAGCCTTTCCCGTATATCTCGCACTCGGTGGAGTGAATAATACACGCGTGGTGATGTGCTGCACCGTGCACCGGTAGAATGCAAATTGGTGTTTACTGTAAATCCGGTCGGAATCGGCAACGGTCGTGCAACGCGAACGCAAGCACGACGAGAACGGCTCGCAAGTGGATTTGGCGTACTTCAACGTGAGTATAAACCGTGACACGCGTGAAGTATGCGTGTAACGGGCGAAGAGCCGAAAGGGAGGAGCAGCATCGGCTGATTAACGTCAGTCGAGCCGAGTCTTTGAGGCGGATGCATACCTCATCGTGGCTTAACGTCGCGATTAATTAATGCACCTCCAGAATACACAATACGTTGACCGACTAATGAGAGACGGTAGCATCGTCATCGCGCGTTCAGCTCACCGAATAATTGAATATCGAGGTAGACGCGTATCTCGCGATGATACGTAAATTGCGCGAGACGGAAGATAAATCTCGCGATCTACGCTCCCGAAGGAATAAATCATACCAGCGAATTACAGTCCGTCCCTCCTGCTTGCCCCGCCCTGTGTACGTATTTGTTGGAGCGTTCGGCACATGTATTGATTGATGTTTATCGTTCTACGATCGGCCTGCAATCGTTCCTTTCTGTTCGCGAATTCGCGAACGAATGGTGTCGTTTAATCGTCGCTGCGTCGTCGGCGCGTGAATATATTTCTACGTCACGTCATGCACCCGGAGGTGTCGAGAGTTACCCGGATAAACGGGACAAGGAAGCAGCTCGCATCTTCCCGCGGCACGCACACTTCACACACGATCGCACCCGATACCTCTTTGATAGCGATATATTTTTCTTAGTGCCAATCGATATCGCCGCGTACAAAAGAGCATATACGGGGAGCCTTTATCGCGGGTGATGCGCGTACGGTAAACAGAATTTTCGCTGCGTAAAACGCAGCTCGCATTTAGCGCGACGCGCGCGGTAACGACTCGTCGCGGATAACGCTTCGATTTTTGAAATAATTACGTCGCGTGCGCGATAAAACGCGCACACACGATTGTCGTGATTGGGAAAGAGGCATTAGCGAGAGTGATAATGAAATTATCGCTGCGAAATTATTACACGATTTGAATCGTGTTATTATCGTCGGAATTATATCACGCCGGATAATTAGATCAGCTAATTCGCGTTTCTCGGACATCGGGCGTTGGTAACGTTGATAACGTCCGGTAGCTCCGAAGCGGCTTCTCCGCTCTGTAGGTCGCACGCAGCTTTTATACACGATCATATGCACGACGAGGAGACGACACCACGAAGCATGAAAGAACGATTATGCAGCATTTCTACAAGTCGGCAAACGTGATCTTTGCGCATAGCGTAAGTTTTACTTTTCGTTCTTTATTTTCAGGTATACACTCTCTCTATAGCCTTATTCTGTGTACATACTCGTGGCAGTATCCCTTTAAAACGATAGCCGAATCCACGTATGCGTATATTTTCAGCTTGAGATTGGGTTACACAGCGAGTCTTGAGAACGTTTTCAGTCCCGTGAGATAAGTCCGGGTTTCGCTTCTTAACGCGCGACAGCATTTGTTTGTTATTATTATGATTTTTATTATATTATTTTCTCACACACTGCACACAAACGTTTCGGTTAGCATTCACCCCCGCGGGCGCTACATCTTCATTCATTTCTTCCTACCCAGACACATTTGGGCTCTCTTATTCTCTTTCAAAGAAACAGGCATCTCGAAAACCGTTCGAAGGAAATTAAAAGTGTAAAGTAATCTTACCTTTTCCATTACGGGGAGACTGGATCCCTCTTCTCTGGGTTTCTTTCCTCCGCTACGATCTGTACTTACTGGTGGTGGCTCTACGAAGCGCGATAATAAACATGGTATTGGTACTAAAAGCATAGCGTTGAAAGCAAAATTAAAAAGTAAGAGACAAACAAAGATAACACGTGCGATCCGCACTGTATCTAACTCATGCTAATATTTACGCTTTCCCTTCCTCCTCCCCCCTGCCCTTTTCTCTTCTCGTCCGATCCCCCTCCTCTGTGTCTCACTTGAAAGGTTTTCCGCGGGCAACTTAATATTTGTGTTGCGTTGAATGGTTTGTTCGCAGATATGAGAATGTCCTCGTCCATGTACGAGGTGTTCAATTGGAATTCTAGCCCCGATCCCCCTTTAACTCCTGCCAAGCATAAGAGAGCCAGCCTCTCTCTACCTCCCACAACCGACATCTTTGCCGTCGATGATAAATCCGATAGCGATACTCGGCGTCCCATGATTCAACGGGCTGCCAGTGGTGAGTCCTGATGTTTCAGAGCCTGCCTGCGAGTTTCGAAGGAGTTTCGTTCTTGTTCGCCTCGAAAGAATGAATATTGTCGACCCTATTGTTTCTCGTTTATGTTAGCACACTCGCTCTTCGCGGATTCTCTCTCTCTCTCTCTCTCTCTCGCTCTCTTTCTCTCTCTCTCTCTTTCTCTCTCTTATTTCTCTCTCTCTCTCTCTCTCTCTCTCTCTCCCTCCCTCTCTTTCTCTCTTGTTCTACGTCATTATGTCTTTCGTTTACTAATCACTACTCAGTACCGGCATGTCACATTCATTTAACACCATACAAGCGTAACCCCCGCGCACTTTCTCCCATTAGTTTCCGCAAGTTTCCTTTCCAATTGTGTGGTATTGGTCGGGTGGGTTTTACGATTTCTCGGGAGAGACCATCGCAACCAGTGAGCAGTTACACCACGTGGCAGCCAATATCACGCAATAGTGTGTTATTAGTTTGTCGACTTGCGTACGATTCCTGCTAACTTCGTTACTAACACGAATAGATTGGTGATTAACTATTTAGTTGCAATGTGTGTTGGCTAAGTTGAGTCTTAGCGAGTCTTACTGCCACTTCGTTGTTACTCGTTGGAAAATTTAATTAGACATATATATTTGAATTACGTGTCGTAAAAGATAGTGAATTAAGTCATTTTAGAGAAATGTTCAAAAATTAGGATCTTCCGATTAGAAATGACACGGGCTTTAAATGTTATTGCGAATACGATCTAATCGGGCGCTTTTCATTAGCTCATCTTTTGGTTTACACATTATTCGTTTAATTAAACCATACACTCATATACATATCAATACAACACTGGACTATTAGTCCTCATTAGCAGTTGCATAATTTATAATTATTTGGTGACTGATTGATTAGTTGTATAAAGGGTAATTTAGCGACCCATGTAAATGATGAGGTACATCACCGCGCGGTGTAACCGAATAAATTGTGCCGTTAATTTGACGTAGATTTGTGTGAGCGTTACAGATAAAGCTTGCATGAATAGACTCCTCCATGCCCGATTGAATTCGAATGTTGCCTTGCTTTTACAACGCTGCTTATACAAAGTACATCGTAAAACTCCCGTCCACGTACTACCAGATTACCCGGCTTCGAAGTTACTAGTTACATGCGCTTTAATTGCACGGAGATCTATGTACACTGAGAGATAAATATTTGCCAAGCGGAGTAAAAGATTCCTATTCTGAAATACATTCGCAGGAGAAACGTGCCAATTTCTCGTTTTACACAATCTCCACAAGGAAATTTAAATACACACGCGAATTCGCACCTCTCTGTGCGTAACACGATTCCCAACAAAATCTCTTTCTCTCTCTCTCTCTCTCTCTCCTCCTCCTCTCTCTCTCTCTCTCTCTCTCTCTCTCTCTCTCTCAGTGTACCACCCGCGTTATTCCCACACGCCACAGCATGAACGGCAAAGCAACCGCGAGGAAACAGCTAAGAGCAAAACAGAAAAAAGAAATTCCGGGCGCGACGTTATCGCGCGCCGAGAAGAGAAGCTCTCTACTCGATTGCGTCTCCATTTAGTAGCGAGCCGCGTTCATCCGCGCGGCGGATTGGCTGCTGCGACTCTGCGTTGTCGCTCGCAGAATAGGCTACCCTAAGCGAGACTCTTTGCAGGTGAGGAGAACGACGGCACCACGCCCAGCACACCCAGCTCGGTTTACCTGCGGGTGAACAGGAGGCGCACCGACCTCATGCCGACGATACCGTCCCCGCGCGACGGCCCGCCGTCGACGGCGCGCAGCTCCAGCGCCAAGGCCTTCACACGCTCGCCAGGTAGGACTTACTCCATGTCCAGGCTGGACCAGCTGGCGCAGCCTAGGAAACGCGCGTCCGAGCAGCTCGGCACGCTGACGGAACAGCAGCAGCAGCAACAGCAGCAGCAACAGAGCCAGCCTCTGAGCGCTTCTAGCATGAGCCGCAGCATGTCGCACTTGGCCGCGCCCGGCGCCAAGAGTCTCAAACGTTCAGACAACTCGCGTAGCATGGGCACGCTGCCGGGCGCGGCGCCGATACCGAGACCCACCCGCGCCGAGCGACTACGCCGCAAGGCTCGCGAGCACCAGCAGGCTCAACAGCAACAAGGTAAGAGAGCATGCCGTGCGCACTCAACTCGACCCCCTGGATGCCCTCCAGCCTGTGTACATAGCTGAGGTACCTTAGCCTTGTCAGCTTCTCACGGTATATCGACCAGTTGAAGTTTCGTTTTTTTTTTTCTTTTCGCTGTCGAAAGCCGCGGACTTCTCCTTGATTTTGTAGGTAATAATAGTTGTATGACGACCAGAGAAGAATAATTAGGACCAGTAAGAGCCTAAGAACAGATGATAGGGACACATTTGAATGCTATTTTAATTAGTATTAATTGTGGGGAGATATGGGCTATTCAGATCATACAGGTTATTATAATTCCGGTATGGTCTGGTATTGCAAAATTATGTGGTAATTTTTACCGCAATATTTCTCCGTGTGTAAATCACGTTACGAGGACGGTTTAACATCCGAATAACTGTTAATCTGGGATCGAAAAGATCGGTTTAACGTGAAAGGCAGATTCTCCGCGTACGATTACCGAATAAAAGATTCGGATATATGCTTAATACACGACTAACATGTATCACTTCCCACAATTGATATTAATATTAACTATATTAATATTCAAATGGCATCGAAACATCCATGCTTTTACTGGCTTTAATTAATCTTCTTTGATAAAACTTAGCGGCGGAGCCGTTGTTACTTAACAGTTTCAGTTATATGATAGCTGTGCGATAGATTACGCGTCTTTACTTTCTTTTCTTTTTTGACTAGCGGCTCTATGGCTCTTTCGTAAATTCGCTGTCCCGTAAGAGAAGTGTCGGTTCATCCTCTTAGCGCGCCGACTTTCTCCAGCCAACGTCGCTACTTTCCTCGGAGTAATTAATCGCCCATCCCGCTTTGCGTACTAATTTTTCCCCGTTAATTTCTCTCGCTGTACACAGCCGGACCTATCGCTTAGCGACGAACTGACGCAAGCCAGATCGACGTGTAATTTTCGATAGAATCTCGGGAGCGATCTTTCGCGAGGGAGAATTACCGTAAAAATCATAACATACGTTTCATGCATCAGACGATGTACATGACTGCACTCACCGTCCGCGACAAGAGAACTTCAGTGTGATCCGAGTTGAGTGCACACATGCATGGATGAGTTTGAAAAGGAGTCTTTGTAAATCAAGTGGGAGCGGATGGCCAGTTTCGTTCTAACGAACACACAGAAGGAAATGCGATCTCAAAATGTTTCAAAGCGGCGGTGTGTCGCCTTTCCTTCTCTCTGATCCCGAACCGCGGAACAATATTAACCGCTCTGATTCTTCTAATTTACACTTTCACACGTGTTACACTTTTTTCTACAGTGACTAACTTGCCGATGTAAATATATCTTTCCATACTTCTTGATTTTAAATTCTATACCGAGCTCTCTTTTGCCACCTTTGCGACTAAGGGTCAGTTGCACCGAGAGCGTGGCTTAATTTATAAAGGAATAGCTAACTTTGCTTAGAGCACTTCCTTATTCCTCGTAGATATAGATCTAAACATCACGTAGAAGAGAAGAGAAGGTAAATGGACGTTGTTAGCGTGAATGAATCGCGGCGCAACTGACTCTTAGCTTTGATCTCCCCGAATTGATTAACAAAGCGCTCCTACTAAGGAAGGAACCTCTCTCAGCAGCTTTTCGGTGCCAAGGGTGAAGGTATGGGCTAACGTTCGGTAAGCTGCATGTTTTCTTTATTTTTTATTATATCGCCGTAATTCGTATAACTCACCCAGTACTATATATATACACTCGTATTTAGTGTGCAATACATACCATGTTAATCCACATTCTGTTCGATTCTAATCGATTCGTTCACGTGTCACATTCTCTTTTTTTTTTTTTTTACGCAATTAAAAGCCTGATTTCTCTTTTCGTTTTGGCTTGATTCTTTCGTTTCGATTACACCCTATTTTGTAATTACCCACACTATCAGACTGCACTCGAACACCGGTGGCGGTGCTTGCGTTTTGCCGATTTCTTGCCGATTTTCGCCTGCTACACTTTGCGCCCGCCACAGCGGCAAACATCACGAGCGGAGACACGACAACGCGGCCGTGTAAACTCGCAATTCTCGCACCGTCGTGCGTACGAATTTTTCTATCGGGAGATTCTCGCGTCGCACCGAGAGAGACCCCGCGCGATCGCGTACAAAGCAGCCTGTAGTGAGCGCAGAGATCAAACAGAATGCTTACCTTGGGTGGGTGCGCGTAGGTATCCGCAGCGGCGAAGTGACACCCAACAGCCCGTCCCGACCGCACAGCTCCATGAGCCAGCAGAGCGCCAGCAGCGTGGGCAGCAGTAATGTCAATCTGCGTTCCCGTACCGCCGCGTCGCGCCGACCGCGGCCTGCTTCTATTGCCGGTACCGGTGTCTCGGTCACAGAAAAACACAGTGAGCATGCCCATTTTACTTCTCCTCGTACCGGCCCTTTCAGGTCGCCAGCAGAGAGAACACACAGTGGCCGCAAACGCACGAGACTGAAAAAGAAAGTGCACGTTCTCGATTAAAGCGAATATCATGGGTCGTTAGGATAATTATCCTGCTTTGAAGGGAGATATCGAGCGGGGTGAAAATGAGGTGCAGTTGTGTTTGTTCGTGTAATTTAAAACTAGAAGACCTGAAAGGGTTTGAGATGCACACAGTACATGTCTCGTACACGTCTGAGAAGGTCCGACTGTAAAGACGTTTTTCAACTTTATCATTTGGAAATTTTTTCTCTCTTCCTTTTTTTTTTCTTTTCTCCTCTGCGTCTTCTTTTCTCGTATGATTTGTGTATAAATTTTACATTTTTATTTTCTTGTTTTTACTTTACAAATATATTTTTATCTTTATGTACATATTATTTTTGCCAATATCTAATGAGAAAATTGCACATGTAAATACTGTATATATCCGTGAGAGCCTCGCGCGGTTGCAGCAGGAAATATTTCGATCGTTCTCGTTACCGCAGATCTGGTGGGCGACGTGAAACTAACGAAGGATTCAAAGCCACCACTGCCAAAGGTCCATAGCACTCCAAAGAAACCTTCTACACCCAAAGCTACGGAGGTGAAGAAGCCGACGGAGAAGTTAATCAAGAACGTCAAATCGTCACCGCGAATAACCCCGAAAGCGACGCCCCTGCAAAGTCCCGGAGCTGAACACGCACCGCTCATTCGCGAGTCCACCGTGGAGATCATAAAGCAGATTGACGAGAAGGACACGCAGGATGTGAAGTCGGAGGATAAGAACGAAGAGAAGAAGGACCAGGGCAGTGAGAAGATTCAGGTAAATTCTCCTTTGCGCCTCGAAAACTGACAAGACTATTCTATATCTTCTGAATGGGAAGAATCTATCTTTTCGTTCCCGTGTATAATTTCCCTAAATGCGAACTATTACAGCCACAAGAGTCAAACATCATCGAATCCATAACCGAGGACACAAAGATGGCAGAAGAACAATCCGTGCCTGTGTCAGCCAGCAAACAAGTCAAGGACGAGACTAATCTGCTGCAGGAGAATCTGTTAAGCGCAGTTACGGAGGAACCGCCGAAAGCCGTTAAGAAGGAGGAAAACAAACAAGAGAAGAAACCGACAGAGATATCTGAGGTCAAGCCCGAGAGCGAAGTGGACGAGCAAATCGACATGTCAGGTATGCTCAAGCGACAATTTGTCGGACGATTATTTTCCACAAGTTCATCGTCAATTCTTCGTCTGTTGACATTGGTTATGCGTTTTTATTATTAACGTCGAGTCACTTTTTAGCCTCGATGATTGCGAAGATCAGAATCACCACCGAAGAGGAAGCCAAAGCCGCTTTGGCCGAGCGTAGAAGATTGGCCAGAGAGCAAGCGGAACGAGAGGCGGAACTTGAGCGTCAGCGAAAGGTACACGATCTACGAATCGATTCAGTCGTTAGACAGGAATCTCGATCTTGATTAAATCCGCCAGCTCACACGCAATAATTCCCGCAGGAGGAAGAAGCGCGCTTAGAAGCCGAAAGATTGCGCGCGGAGGAGGAGGAGCAGCGTCGTTTGGAGGAGGAGACTCTACGCTTGGCTAATGAAGCTCGAGAGGCTGAGGAGCAGCGACTGCGACTGGCGATCGAGGAAGCCAAACGTCGCGAAGAGGAAGACAGAAGAAGAAGAGAAGAGGAAGCTCGTCAGAAGCAAGAGAAGGAAGAAGCGGAGCGTAAAGCGAGAGAGGAGGCGGAAAGGTTAGTCCGAGGGAGACTCTTATCTCATTTATATCCGCTGGAAATTCACGATGGACACTGTGTGACTAGCGATATCCATACATTTAAATTGCAGACAACGAATCGAAATGTCGGAGAGGCTTAAGAAAGAGGAGGAGGAGCGCAACGCTAGACGCAAACGAGTCGAGGCGATTATGCTTAGGACGAGAGGCAAAAATCAATCCAACACGCCAACCAAGGTAACATTATACCTTGAAGATTTATCTTGCAACTAAACTGATGAAATCGTTTAAAAGTTAAATTTACTCGATCAAGAGAGTTGTTTGAATTAACTGTTACATATACGGAAAAAGGGAATTAGCTGTGGGGACTAAAAGTACAGGGACGAAATAAATTAGCTAAATTAACTAAATTTCAGTTGTATTATATGGACAGCTGATTCTTACTTGTAGGAGATAATTCTTTTTTTCCCGTGTACCTAAAATCAATCAACGGAATTATATACAAATAATTCGTTACGGGAAATATTTGTTGCGCAGGGTGAGGCTGGTGATGGCGACAAGTTGAAGGAAGAAAGTCCTAGCGACGAGAACAAACCCGTGCCGGGCAGCAAAGGCGACGACGTTATGACAGCCAGTTTAATTTCCGAAGCGACCGAGCAATTCATTAGTGGTGAACAGCGGGCGCATCAGGTGGAAAACGACGCTGCGCCGGACATTGTGCACAACGGCACGCATAGCAACGGCATTAACGAAAGTAAAATTGTATTGGATAATAATCAGGGTAACGTTGAAGGAGAATTGAACGGTCATCATACGAATCACGGGAACGGTATCAACAGTCAGTCGATTACACTGGACAATGCCACTGTGTAAGTATGCCAATTCTTCAGTCACGGATTCACAAACACGTGTTAGACTCCACCGCACGACGTAGAGATATACTTCTCGGCTCGTCGACCGCCGAGAAAACACGACGATCAAAATTTCGAACAATAACGAAACTGATCCGAAAAAATGACTCGTTTCTTCTCGGTAGATCGATGGACAATAATATAGTAATCGCGAGGAGGCTCGCTTCGGTAACGTGTATTTAATTGCCGCATACATACCGAGGCTGAACAACATAACGATATAACGATATAACGGTACAATTTTGGACACGTGTCTTCAGAAACCGAGATTGATATAACGTTCGCTTGATATACGCGCAATCGAAGAAAATAGATATCAAAGTATATTGAAGAAATGAATATCTTGGCCGAATCGAAAAGCTTGTTCTCAAATCGTCTTAAATCTTGTGTTTCTAGAAAATGGAAATTATGTGCTTATGGGCTTATTTTATGAGCTTTCGGTAGCTTTATAACGCATAATTTTTACCTTTCTAAAATATGGACTTAAGATGCTTTGGTAATATCGGTTCTTCGATTGATTCTTTTTGTCGCATCGCGAAATTACGTTATAAACGTGGTATGAGAAATCCATTGGAACAATCTTCTAATGTATTTAATTAATCAGCAAGAGAGGATATAGATAGATAATATATATATATATATATATATATATATATGCAACGTGCAGTTTCTATGCAAGTAACATTTTTACAGGACATAAATAATTGCACAATACTAGCCAATATACTATTCGTCTGAAATTGACTGATTACTAGCATAATCGAAAACAATGATCGGCCGTATAGTTGAACGGTCGCAAAACTGAAGCGTATATATTATCATACAGTTTAAGACGGCTGAAGTAATTTGCAATAAGAGGATCAACTTTTAAATATTGCATGTAAAACCTAAACGTATTTACGTAATTTAGAATGGAATCATTTACACGTTATGGAAGACAAGAAAATCAAATACATTACTTCGGCATCTTTCCTACATACAAACTTCTTAAACAGAGTCTGTATAATTTAAAACCACGTGCCACATTACATTAAATTAAGCATATTGTATAATTTTATTTGTAAATAGAAGCGATGAGGGTTCTATATAATAACGAGCAATTGTCGCACTACGTGAACAAATTGATTACTCCGAGTTTTTAATTCGTGCACACACGTAAAAGGAATTTTGTGATTCAGAAAGACAATTATTTGAACTTTCATTTGTGGCAGAATATGTAAAATCTTTAGACGTATATTCCTAGAGGCCTTACTGTGTCGAAGGCTCTGTATATAATGAATTACGTTGTTCGAGCTATGTCTTGTAATGTCAGTTAACTACTAAAGTGAATTAATTAAGTTTTGAGAGTTATATACGTATATATATGTACACATTATAAATAGTTATTTAGTAACAAAGTTTACTGCGCTTTCCCGAGGATCGCTTCGAACTGCCTATTCGACTTAATTAATTTTACCGGACGTTCACTCGCTTCGTGCAAATGTTACGAGTAATCCACATGTGTTGTACATTGCAAAAGTAGTCAGAGCAACAAGGTTGACGAATATAAACGCGCCATTGCGACTCACCGTTTAACGATACGATTAGCTGCACGATTATCAGCGTATTAACCAACAATAACCTCACACGCTACAACAGTAAAACACTTGCTACTACAATGATAACGAAAGTGCAGGTATGAAAATGTATATTGTATCACCTATTATGATAATTACATATATTTTATAATCGATATTCAGCTGTGTACTAACGAGACAAATATTACTATTTTTAGCTAGAATGATCAAAGATATCGGGAATTAATCGCGTATGTACTCCGATTGTCTTTAGACGTTATGTCAACGAGTTGGAAGTACTTTATGTAATACCATACATGAAGCATGAAACCGTTAAGAACCACTAACAGAATTACACATTTAGCGCTAAATCACACGACAAATAAACCTCAGTGTACATAATGTAAAGAGAGACAAGCAGCATAAATCTAATGACTCATCGAAACGTTTCGTTTTGTAATTTCACAAATACACCGGCTCAGCAAGGATGAGTAATTTCAGCGTTGTAATTAGCGTTGATTGAAAAGCACAATGACACAACCAAAATATATTCGCGTATATAATAATTATACACGAGATATATCACGTGACAGAGAATATTTCGCATATCGTAGACTTAATGAGATATCATCTTCGCTGAGCACACTTCTCTGATCTTTCCTTTGACTATATAGATACGAAAATAAAAAAATCTCTCCACTTACCGTTCCGTTGTATATTCCGTGAGTGCGATTGATCTTCGCAACAAATTCCGCTAATCACCAATGCATGTTACCAGTTAACATTAATATGGTGTGGCTTGTTTTTTCCTTGCACAATAATTGTCTGCGTACGTCCCTCATGCTTGTTTATATTGTATACTCTATCATCGAGCGGGTATATATATATGTCAACTTTTACTGCCTACTTTTGCTATGTACCTTTACGTGTTTTTTCGATACAGTACTTTTCCATGAGAAGACATCTCTCTTCACACACTCCATATCCACAAATCCCACATGAAAGGTACTCATGCCGTGCAAAAAAAAAAGGACAAGAACAAAACAGAAAAAACGAAAAAAAAAACTAAACGCCGGCATGAACTTTCTTCTCTTACACATTTTGATTTCGCACCGACGAGTGAATTGATTGTGTGGATTTTTTGAGTGTGATTCGATTTTGTATTAGATCCGTATTTGTTGTTTTGCTGTAATATGTTCTAGCAAGTCTATGGTTATTATGATTATATATATATATATACAGTTGACGTGTATATCAACTTAATCGATTTGCTCTCGTAGTATCTTGTTATTTAAACAAAAACCTGTTGCGATCCATCCACGGAATAATACATTTTATAACATGATAATTGTTTATCCGACTTCATATGGCCAAATGCAGACGAAAATTCTGAATGTCTATATACGATACTACGCAAAGGACCGCAAAAGGTTGTGAATTATTCCGGTTAGTACCGCTATGCATAAAAATAATTCCTATCGGACTCTTGATCGCTTATAATAGTTGTTACGATAGACCTCCGAATAGTTGCCTTTCGAGGCCCTCAGAACCTGTAATTCGAGGAGCAGTCGATAGAACGTGCAAAAGAACAAATTGAACCGCATAACAAGCGCTTTATATTCATCCGTACGTTACGTTTAGTTACATTTTTCTAGCTTCATATTGTTCATTTGTTAACGACCTTTGTTGTCGTTCCTTTAGACGTATTTAGCGAAAGAGAATCGCGACTATGTGTTGCTGTTCGACAAACTCCGAATCCGTTTCGTTTTACTGACTCAACTGTCTGGAGATATGTTGGCGAAGTCGCTCGCAATCGGCTTATAGTTAACTTAGCGTCGGTGATTCCGTGTTAGTGGTCGTGAATAGTCGCTTAAGTCGTAGCCCCTAACGTCTGTCTGGCTGTAAAACTTAGTCTCTGTATGTTTTCCTTTGGCTGATTTTATAGCAAGCAAAACAACGTGACCAACAACCTGTTAGACTTGTCGGAGTTCGACACTCTGAGTAATAACAGTAGCGGCTACGATACCGGGCCGATACTCGAATTGACACCCAATCTGGCGAACGAGGATAGCCTCAACTCCAACCTAAATCCGACGGCGATGCCTTTTACCCCGATGGGCAATACGTTCGTGCCCGCCACCGCTAACGCCAATGTCAATCCGTTCCAGGACAATTTCATCAGCAACAAGCCGCAAGATAATAATCAAGTACCAGGTATGTGAGCCAAATCAATGGCTGATATCCCCAATCAACATGCCAGTCGATTTAGTCATACACAGAATGCCAAAACCAGAACTATTGGAATTTCTTTATCTGCGAGTTTCATAGAGAAAAGAGATCGATTAGTGGTTCGTTGGATGTTGGATGGTACAAACTGTATATTATGACTAAATAAACTGGCGTATCGTACAGCTTGATTGGAAAACGGACTAAAAGGGCTGTTCGCCTCTCTCTTTCCCTCTCTGTCCGCAGATCTTTTGTCATAAAGCGTCACTCGAACGTTCTCCTGAACGAGCAGAAGAGGAGCAGTTCGGTAATCAGCAACCAAATTGCTTGTGGCGAGCAATAGCTATACTCAGAACGAGACGAGTCGTTTATGATAATGTAAATAACCGCTTTCGCGCGATGTGTGTATCGTGTGTAGAGGAAATATCTAGATGAAGTGAAGAGAGAGAAGGGCGCCGCACGTCGGACTGACTATCCGTGGGCCCACGATTGTGCCGAGCTCGGAGCATTATCACCGGGGAAAAAAGGAAGTGTAATATATAATATATCTAATGTTAATTAATAATATCATGCAACAGCAAGTGTGGACACTCAGTCCGTGTGTCGTAGTACGCTATTAGATATAAATATAACTTTCTAAAGGACTTTCGGGATGAGGCCTGTTTGTAACACACATCATTTTCGGATACACGGGCGTATTTTACGGTAACGAATCGAAATTAAATTTCTCACATATTCACGTACACGAGAACACGTACATATATATATACAATCATACAGATACATACACACGATTTCGCTCTTGTCCCCCCTCCCCTACTATGCAAAAACCCGCGTGTAGAGACAACTGAAATTTCGACAGGTTAATCGGTTAGCGATAATAGAAAATATCGAGAATCGCGCGGAACACAGAGTATCAAAGACGAAGAAATATGGCACAAGATATAAGAAGGAGGATGGATATCAGGGTTAGATCGAACTCTGCAGACTTATCTGTCAAAACGACATAGGAGGCGAGCTCTGATGAATTAGAGAATCTCCCTAAGACTACATAAGAGATAGCGTAAAGTACTACCTAATAGCAACTTCACGAGAAGTCGGATTTAAGCGCGTGATCGCGTTCAATGTGAAAGAGAGATAGAGAGACATTTTGCGGCATGGGGGAAAGTAACAGGCGGAGAAAGAGCAAACACTTTTCTTCCATACCAGATTTTGGGGCGTGCGCTCACTAGTCAAGCAATCTTACTATTTTTTTCTCCTCTTTTTTCTTCTTTTTTTTTCTTATCGTGTATCGTTTAGAGGGCCTACTTAACATTGGTATACTCTAGGTATTCGCTAGACGTCACTATTGTTACGTTTCTTCGTGGATCTAACATAAATTCTCTAGCTGTGATGATGATAATGATGACGAAAATAATGATGATGACGATGGCGCTGATTGCTTTGTGAGATAGCCGCTGCTATAAGTTAATGGAGTGACGATCCAGTAGCGTTAATTGTAAGAATTGTTACGCGAAGGAGATGTTACAGATGGTCGCGCGGTATTAATCGCGCTTTATTCGACGAAGGAAGAAGCATCACGATCGCTCGCGACGTCACGATCGATAATGTCAACGTGGACTGCGAAGCCGGATATCGCTGTAATGTTTGTACGAAGTCCGAAAGGGTGCGAGCCGTAAGCGCTCCCGTCACTGTTCGCGGCGGAAAGACATTACCAGACGTGGTAGCATGCTTTGCATTTTACGCTTGCCTTATCGCAGATCGCGCGATATCACCGTTAGGGTTACCGATCATAGGGACCGGCGACGGATTATTTGTAACGTGGGTGGAGAAGCAAGGACACATTTCTGTTATCCCGATTGGATTCGGGACGCATGCTCGAGAGAATTAATTTTCGACACTAGGAGAAAGAGATAGAATTAGTGTATAGACTTTATGTACCGTGTTTGTTATGCGACTTTTCTCTCGTATATGTTTGCGCCGCACGCGCACGCAACTTTTAACCTCCCTCCCCCCTTTCCTCCCGCTCTTTACTTTAATCGCATTTTACCATAATCAGTAAAAGCAGTAAAGGTCATCGAGCTGCACGTGGTGCGAGCTGAGATTTCCTCGTCAGCGTCGTTTCCGTTTGTATTCGAGATTTTCTCTCGTTCGCTATTGCGTAACGCTGTAACCTTATTTCCGAACGCGTCGAGAAAGATTTTCCCGCTCGCGAGTGATCAATATATTTTCCCCATTCATGAATGATATGTATTTTTATCGAGAATTGTTAGCGAGCTTGTTTGTACAGACGCATGTCGCGAGTCGCGTTGTTTACGCACCGAGAATATCCCGACAGGGAAGAAAAGGAAAGACGGAAATAAAAAAGAAAAGCGTTAAGACCGAAACCGTGCAAAGTAACAGATTTATATTGACACGTTTTATCGTCCGTTTTCCCACGAGAAATCGTCTCTGCGTTTGTCTTGTAAAAATTTTAATACTGTAACGAATCGCAGTCGCCTCATTCGTTACAAGTTATTGTGTATCAAACTTATTTATTAGTTTTTCTTTTTCGACAGATATATTTATTAATCGTTCGGACACCGTATATTACCCCTGCGTCACGTGTACACTTATACTATTTCTATTAGATTTGGTTGAAACTATTAAAACTACTCTATAAGAATACATAATAATAATAATATTAATAATAATATTAATAATAATAAAATAGAGTACGAGACAACGCGCGTTTCTAAATATACTATAACGAAAAAAAATGCTAAATATCATCAGTCATGTTTAAAAAAAGAAATACTTCATATTGTAAAAAATGCTTGTATGTAATAAATACTTAATACTGAAAAACACATCTCTCTGGAATACCGATTTATACGCGTCCCCCCACTTTGCTCCCACGCGCCATAATTACTCCGCCTAATATTAACATTAATTGCAGGCCGTTGGAGAACATCGACTTCCTCGATTAGTATCAACTGCAGTTGTTGCCGTCGTTTGTAACGCCCAACAGCGAACACTCTCCTGCCTGCATCTCTCACCGCCCTACAAATCTTTACCTCGCCTCACCTCACCGAAACTAGCAGACCCTCCTGATAATGCGAACTCGCAGACCTCGCACCGTGAAATATAGCGCAGCCACGAAGATGCATCGCGGATGCAACTCGTCCCTCGAGTCCCACACTCACAAAAACTAATGCTCGGATCCTCGCACTTTGCGCGGAGATGCTGCGTCTTCCCTTTCGACAGAGAAAATACCTCCTCGAAGTGGAATGTTTCCGTCTCCCTCTCGAGTTCTCCTCTTTCTCCTCGATTATTCATAGTTATCTCGGGAACCGTGTCCAGCGACACGCGGTAGAGACGATTCCTTTGTCTTTCTTACCGTGATCCTTCGGGTCCTCAATCACTCTCTCCCTTTTCTTCCTTCGTTTTACTGGTAACTCGCGAAATCGCTTCAAATATTGTTACCGAAACCGCATAGAAATTTAATAATGCGTCGATCTTAATAAACGAAGGAATCGTCGGCCGCTGTCTAAAACTGGAAGACGGATGATGAAGAGTGAAGGTAAGATTCTTTATCGAATTTTACGTCAGCTCTCGATTCTTTTCCAATTATATAAGTGTCGTCTCGAAGCTTAAAAAATTGTTACATTTAAGATATACGTCTCTCGCGAACATGTTGATCGCGCCTTCATACATATTTCAAGCAGTGAAAACCCTGTTCTCTGAAGGAGAAAAGAATGTTCGTATTGTATCTCGGGCGAAACTGCGGTGTCTCGTCGTTCAGTAAATTTACACGATGCAATTACCTGCTTGCCTGCATAACCATGCTGGTTAATGTTAATATCATTAGGTGAATAACAGCAGTTGTAAAGACGGAGGGAAATGTTTGTTTACTTCGTTTCTTCGCGAGATTTGAGGCAGACAGGAGGACGAGAAAATTCAGCCCGGGGGTTCGTAATCCAGCGCAACGTCGGCGTAAATTAATTAATCAAACGACGTAATACGCAAGCTCCTTTTGCCGCGTTATTACGGGCCGAGAAGGCGAAGAGGATCACCTCGGGGGTGAAATGAGGATTTCGGATACGCGCGCAGAATTCTGCGGGTTCAGCATTCCAGAAAATTAAACCGTTATGAAAAATTAAATACTTGCACATGGATTTTTTCATCCGTCGTGCATCACTCGTGGAAATAATGTTTAATAATTTTGCATGTCATTGTATTATAAAAATATGAACCATTGCAGTAAAAGGTTTACTTTTTCTAAAAACACGTTTCTAAAATCGTTTGGAAACTAATTTATTTATATAATAATAATGCAATTCCGACGTATGTATCTACCAAACGTTGCAAGATGCAGCAACGGGTAATTTCAGGGAAAATGGCTCATTAGAAATAATCTATTTTGCATTGTCAACGTTTTGAGAAAGCGCAGAGAGAATGGGGGAATGCACTAATTGATTACAACCGGTTGCGCTAATTGGAATGCGAAAGAATAGCGATACATAAACTCGCGTAGCAGACCTCAACGCGAATATTATTGTTCGCGCAATTAAGGCGGACGCGCGACACGCAGTAATTCTTCGTTTTAGCAAATCCGTGGTATTAATTCCGTAAATGAATTTCGCGCAGCTCGCTCGCGCGGCGGGAAACGTGCATTCGCTTAACGACGGGGGTGGTCCGCGAATATTGTAATTTATGAACGGTAGAAATACTCCCCCGTTGCGACGTTTACTTTCCACGTGAGATTACGTGTTTTCCCTTGCTCTTGGCATTCAAATTTTTAGCTGGAATTATTTTTAAATCCTCGTGATCCTTTGACTGTGCATACTATTTATAATCTGAGGTAATGTAATATTTATATTTCACAATTATTTTAGAATTTTCTTGTTACTTTTCGATTCTTTTGTTATTACTTGCTAGTTTTAGAAATGATTTCTCTACCGTGGATATATTTTACGTACGTGTCACGTATGTTACGTACGCAAATGCGTGTATTTGTGTCAATTTTAAAATGACGCTAAAATTACCCTAACTACAAAAGATGCAATTTATATTTTACTCATATACTTCTTACCGATTCTTTCACTCTTCGGCTTCTTCTCGAAACGTCCGACCCACGGTTGTTTTGCCCGATGACTGTTTACTAACGAGGATCAAGGTGCCGGATGTGTCTCGGAGACGTCAACTGATTTCACACGCCGCTCAGTCGCAGAGAGGGGCACGGTGAGGAAGGTCGCGAGTTCCTCGTAGTCGAGCGCGTAATCCACCATCCTCGGACCGGCACATTTGCGTTGCAGTCGGAGCGGGCGAGACGGAAGGCGGGACGCGTAATTTGCGGGTTGTAATACCGCGCCCGTCGTTTGTAACCTGTTCGGGACACGTAAGTATAGCCAAGAGAACAGTGCCGGGGCGAGGAGTAACTACGTAACCGCATCGTCTCATTGAGGGGGATGTTTTCCCGGTTCTGAAACGGATGTAACTACCTACCCGTCTGCGTGGCACCCCCGGAAAACGCATAGGGGTACTCGATCACCGCTCTCTTCATCCTATTTGCGGCGCCGCCACTTCCGAGCCTCGTCTAAATAATAAATTGCAGATGGCTGCTTAACATCACGCCAGGCGGCCCTGGAGAATTATGGGTAGGCGCGATCCGCAATTAATCCGCCGAACTTCGATGACTTTTGAGTTCCCGTCTTGAGGAGTGGAACCCGGCAGAGATGTGAATAGAGAAGATTTTCTCAGGTTACAAAGTCGAGTAGTCGCCGATGAAAGATCAATTGAAAAATATCTCGGTTCCGTTCTTCCGTTCGTGCCGGTTCCCGCGTTTGTGACGACGCCATTCCCCTCCCAATATGTCCGACTGACGCGTCTGGCTTCGAGCGTCGCATCTATACGTCTGGTGTCGAGTCTACAAAAACTTTGAGTTAGTGAACATCTAACGGACGAACAATAAGTGAACAAGTAAATGACAAGTGACAATAAGCAGATGGCTGGGCGATGCAGCAGTTGGCGAGAAGGAGACTTCGGTGTCGGCGAATCGGTGAGTGATTCCAGTTATTATTAATCTCAGTTATCTCGGTCATCCGTTTGCGTCAATTCTCGCTCCTCCGCGAGCGAGACGAAGCTCTTCCAAAATATCACCTTCTGATATTAACGTACATGTGACGTTGCACGCTGTGTAACGGAAAATCGGTATCGAGCGCTTGAATTACGCGGCCGTAATTTCAGGGCGACACACACACACACACACACACACACACACAGAGCTGCGTTTAACCTCACATATTTCGACGTTTTCCTCTCCTATCCGATCTTTTTACCGCGAGTAGCCGTCATACGTAGTTATCTAGGCGTGATGCATTTCTTCCGAAAATGTGTCTCTGGAAAGTATACCTGGTAAGTAATAAAACGTGCGCGCGTGTGATAACGTGGATACGAAAAAAAATTCGAATGATGCGGCGACAAATACGCGGGACCTGGAATGAAATATATGTCATCGTTATCTTCTGGGTTGGGAGAGAATAACAAGCAAGATAGAAATCGACGAGAAGGGCGGCGAAATGAGGGGGGAGAGGGACACGGGAAGAGGGAACGGGTCGAAAGATTCAAATGAAATTCCGCGCTTCGGTTTACGGGTGGCTCGACGCAAGCGAAAAGGATGCAACCACCGCCCGGTCGGGGGATGCATTCATTTTGCACGGGTCATAAGGCCTTCGGGCGCGATGTAAGCGAGGAAGGGGCCCGGGACTCCTCCGCCGAGGTTACTGCACTTCGGGGACGAGTTATCCTCTCCATCAGCCACCAGGAATTCACGCCCGAGCGTTCTCCGAGCGAATTCCCGAGGAAGCGCGAGCTCCTTACGCAGGAGCGGTTTCGCTGCTGCGAGATAACGCTTCGCGTCGATTTAAATTTCCGGATGCGCCGCGCGCGCGCGCGCGCTCCTCTAAACGGATTTATAAATAAATCCCTAGAAGCGTTGTTGCGCGAGAATCAAGCGTATACGTAGTCGGCGATCCTTCTTAGATTACCTTTTCCGTGAAATTTCGTATACCGGAAAAAGGAATTAGCTGCTTATATAATACAACTAAAATTGTGCAGCTAAAATTTAATTACCAGATCTAGTTTTTAGTTGCGAAAGTTAAAAACTTGGTGCAAAGATTAAAAAAGCATTTAAATTACGGTAAATTAACTAAATTTTAACTGTATTGTATGAACAGTTAATTTTTACCTTCAGGAGCTAATTTTTAATTTTTAAAGCTGTGGAAGCTAATTTTTAGCTGTGAGAGCTAATTCTTTTTTCCTTGTACTAATTAGGAAAATTATATAATAAATCGTCTTATAACTTTGCAATTGAACATCTCTTTCTTCGTAAACAACTGACTTTGAAATAAATACCGCTGCCGGCTGCCGTTTCGCACAGCTGCAACATCCGCAGACTTGAGCGTCAATTAGGAAGTAAAAAATAACTTCTGCGGTAAAAAATAAAATAAACTTGCGTAAAACGAGGCCAAAGGAGTCACCGTTGCCTCCAGGAGGGTGCTCGAAAACGAAACGGCCGGAAGAAAGGCGAAGTGAGAGAGAGAGAGAGAGAGAGAGAGGAGAGATACAACCGAACAAAAGCGAAGACACCAAAGGGGAAGAAAGAATTGGATTTGCGGACGAAGGCGCAAAAAGAAAGGCG